CACCTGCCTGCAATAATCCGTTTTTAACGTTTTTCTTAGGCAGAAGATAAAGAGGAAGAAGATGTATCTAGTGAACCTGAAGCTTCACCAAGTGCAGATACAACTATCCTGTTTGTGAAAGGAGAAGGTAATAGAGAAATACTAGTTTTAACTCAGGTATAAGAATTTTTAAAATGACAAGGTCACTTTTTTGGGAAGCATTAGTAATGCTTAAGATTCATCTTCCTTTCTTACAAGTGCAGTGTAAACACATTCTGAAAAATACCTTATATATATGTATGAATACCCATGCCTATAAGGTACTATTCCTGGCATTTAAATTAATGGGGAAAAAATACTACCCATTTTAACTAGAAATTAAGTGTTCCTTTGAAAGAAACTTTTCTTAAACTCTTTTCAGACTGCCACAGTAAAGTAACATATTTTGATTGGGAAATTAGTGAAATATTAAATCTTTACAATTAGGCCTTGGTTGGAGCTTAGAGTTCATGAAAAGAAAGTAAGTAATGGCTTATATTTAATAAGGGCTGTCGCAGGCACTGTTCTCAATACTTTGCTTGTATTATTTAATTCTTACAGAAATCCTGTGGGGTTAGTTACTATTGCTAAACAGATTTAGAGAGGTTAACAACTTGTCCAATGTTAGCCAGTTAGTAAATAGAGTGTGGAGACAGGGTTCAGACCCAGATCGGTCTGACCCCAGAACCTGTGCTGTACTGGATGAAACTCAGCTCTGTAGACTACAGTATAAATATGAAGGCTTATTATTTGAAGTTAATCTTCTTGGGCTTTTCAGGTTTAATGTTTTAGTCCCACACATGCTCCAATTTTATGCCTATGAGAAGTGTGATTTGATTAGGAGATTCCCTCTCCCCATTTATTTCGTAGCTGCCTCTTTGGGTCTTCCTTTCATATTTCATTTTGACTAATTGCTTAAAGTAGGTAGGGATTACCTGATTTGTGTGTGTGTTTTAACAGATATAGTTTTGGTGAACATCTTAGACTTTATCTTTCTGTTGTTCTTCTTTTCATTATTTGCACAGATAACATACTGAGTTGGGGGGTAGGAGGTGACTTCAAGACAGCGTCACTGCAAGATAATCTTACTGCTAAAAGTACACGACTCTTTCTTAGACCACATAATTTGGGTGTGATCTTGTCTGAAACTGAGATACTCAGTTCAGCTCTGAAGTTGGAATGCTGGAATGTAGACAAGGATTTCAGTTTATACACCAGTTACTAGTTAGTGGATGACTGGAGTTCTCTATTGAAAGGGATTCTGGGGCACCTGGGTGTGGGAGGAGATTAACCAAAGAACTTATATGCATAACCCATGGACACAGACAATAGTGCAATGAAGGCCTTGGGGGGTGGGGTGGAGTGGGAGTGGTGTGGAGGGGGTCATTGGGGGGATATCTGTACTTAGAACAATAAGGATAAATTAAAAAAGAAAGGAATTCTGAAACCAAGTCTACATGTATCAGGAAAGGGTGCCAAAATCCACTAGTAATGTCTTTTTTTTCTAATCTTTCTGTCTTTTTTTTTTTTTTTTTTTTTTTTTCCAA